TTGCTTTACTTGCAAGAAAATTGTCCACTAGGGCTGGGAAGGTGGCTCAAGTGGTAGAGCGCTAGCCTTGAGCTGAAGAGCTGAGGGACAGTGCCCAGGCCCAGAGTTCAGGCCCCATGACCGGACCCCCAAAAAAATATGAAATGTTATGCGTTCTGGATATAATAAAAAAATTCAGATTGTGTGTGTGTGTATGGTTGCATGTGTGAACTGGTCCTGGGCAATGTCCCCGAGCTTTTTTGCACAAGCTTTTTTTAACCACTTGAGATACAGCTCTACTTTCCAGCTTTTTGGTAGTTAATTAAAAATAAGAATCTAATGGTCTTTCCTTCCTGGGCTGGCTTTGAACCATAATCTCTCAGATCTCAGCCTCCTGAGTAGCTAGGATTACAGGCTGTGAGCCATCAGTGCCTGGCTGGGTTTTCAAACTAGGGATTTCAACGTCTAACAGTAAAAATCTTGATAGTTTCAAGGTACTTGTGACAAATAATTATCTTAACTTGAAAAGGAGAGGAAGGAAAATGGAAAGTAGAATACAAAAGAGGGAGGGGGGAAAGGGAAGGAGAATAACACTATGTACTAATCACAAGCTATTTGCTAGGTACTATAGTAAACTATCACACATACTATGGATCAAACCTTTGTAGGTAGATCAGTAAGGCACTGATACTTGTATTTTACATTTGGTCTTCCTTTGTCAAAAAATGAGAGCATGATTTGACTTCTACAAAACATAATGGTGTTGTATTTTTAAACATGGGAAACTTAATTAGAGGACTTGGAGGAGAAACAATGTAGGAATAGACTTTTTTAAAAAGTTATTTTCTTAAAAAAAATCTGTTGTCTACTTTAGATGAAAGTTTCCTGGAGAAAGAACACATACTGGTTTAGAGTGAATCACCTTATTCAGAATTCCACAGTTCATGTGAATACCCCACAACTTGATGAGGTCATTCTGGTTAACCAACATAGCATACCAAAGAAATTAAAGTATTAAAAGAGGCCATCTTCAAGGCTGATTGAGTGGTCTCATTTTAAACATATTAAACCCTGAATAAAGTTGAAGTGAATTTTACAGCAGCCTACCTTAAACTAGGGTCTGAACTGCCTAAATTAAGTAATGCAATATTGAGTAGTGTCCCAGGCACATCTTTTGGTCGAATCTTGGTGTGCTGGGGGATGGAGTCAGGCTGCGACAGTTCCCAGCGGGTCCGGATGTGAATGATAGACTGGACGATGGCATCACACTCCTGGTGCATGAAGGTGAGTGGTGTGCCCTGGTTTGCAATGGTTAAGGTGAACTGGTTCTCATCCACTAGGCAGATTTCTTCAATTTCTGAGGCATAATAGATATCATTTAGAAAGACTGACTGCCCCAAGACTTTTGTTCTCTCTGCTGAGGTTACTTGAACAGCGGTAGAACCAACCTGGAAAGTGGTGGTAAGGGGTGGAGTGGAGAAGAATTAAAATTCCATTATGTAGAATTCTAAGAGGCTTCAAAACGCAATCAACCAACCACCCTACCCCACACTCTGTGTTTGCCATTTAAGGAGTTATTATTATGTATTCAAATGGCTTCAATAATTTTTGTGACAAATGATCTAAAAAGAAACTTAAAACATCAAAAAATTTTAATTATGCTTATAAGAGAGGCCAAAAATCCTATAGATCAGAACTGATTATATTCTGCAGATTTACCCTCCTTACTCTGCAAAAATTTTGCATGGATCAGGAAAAACCCTTACTTGATAATTTCAACTCTCCACACATTCCTACCAGAGCAGTGACAGTCTATCCTCACTATAACCCAACCTAGGATGTTATCCACTCCTTCTGCTCAACCTCAAAAGAGATCTTCCCACATCTGTATTTGTCATATGATCAATAAACTACATGAGGAAACATAGGGCGGCTAGGATATAAGGTGGGTAGAAAGGTAATGGACCATTCATAAAACACAGACTGAAACTTACCTTAATAGAAACTTTGGTGTCTTTGTGAGCTAGCTTGAGAGCATTGTGGAATACCTTCAGGTCCTCTTCCAAGGCTAAGGTGGCAGCAGGTAGTTTCTGTTGTTCATGCTCTATGTGCTCAGCTAGTTTCCCAGGACAGTCTATGAAAATGAGTCTTTTGCTGCCTTTGAGACCAGTCAGCAGCCGTTCGTGATACTTGGTATACTCTCTGACCCAGGAGTTACAGTTATAGATATAGACAGCAGAGACATTGTCATACGCAAAGCCAGGAAAAACCACAAACCACTTTGACAGAAAGTCTGTTTTAAAGCGATTGCTAGGCCCAGTATGGGTAAGGTCAACTACAATTTCATATGGCTTTGCATAGTATGGCTTTAAAGTCAGCAAGACATGGTATATCAGCAAATCACCATTGATCTGGCCAGTTTTGAACCTAAGGAAGATGATTAAAAAAAAAAAAGACAGATTGTTAACCAAGTTCTGAATAAATATATAGAATATAAATATATTTCTGATTCCTTCCTTCCTTCCTTCCTTCTTTCTTTCTATTTCTTTTTTTATTGGTCATGGGACTGGAACTCTGGGCCTGGGTGCTATCTCTCAGCTCTTTAGTTGAAGGCTAGCACTCTACCACTTGAGCCACAGCGCCACTTCCAGCTTTTTCTGCTTATGTGGTGCTGAGGAATTGAACCCAGGGCCTCATGCATGTAAGGCAAGCTCTTTATCACTGAGCTAACTTCCCAGCCCCTCTGATCTGTTTTCTAGACAGTACAATATAATACAATTATTAAATTCTGAATTCATGTGTTATTTCAGTGTTCTCCAGACATTGAAAAATAAGGTTACAGGAAAGGTAAAGAACAATCTCCAAATCTCCTATTTAAAAAACTTGAGCAAGCTGGCCAGTGGCTCACACCTGTAATCCTAGCTACTGAGGAGACTGAGATCTGAGGATCTCAGTTCAAAGCCAGCCGGAGCAGGAAAGTCCATGAGACTCTTATCTCCAATTAACTGCCAGAAAACCAGTAATGGTGCTGTGGCTCAAGTGGTAGAGTGCTTGCTTTGAGCTGAAGAGCTGAGGAACAGCGCCTAGGCCCAGAGTTCAAGCCCCAGGAATGACTAAATAAATAAATACATAAATAAATACATAAAATAAAAAAATTTAAGGAAGCAAAAAAATAAATAAATTGCCCCTCAATCAAGGGAAGAGTCAGACAGCCAGTACTGCTGGATGAACCTATCTGGGCCCACCAAGCTTTTCATGTAAACAATTTGGGTGGGAATGACCCACCTTGAATGAAATGGAATAGACTTTAGACAATCCATTTACCCTACTCTGGCCAGAGCCTGCTTCAGCAATGAACATATTACTCAAACAAGGATAATCTTGTCAGGGGCCCAATTCAGAGACTAGCCTTACACTGTAGGGATTTGAGACGTTTTTCCCTCTGATATTATAAAACACACACACACACACACACACACACACACACACTCAGAGACTAGCCTTACACTGTAGGGATTTGAGACGTTTTTCCCTCTGATATTATAAAACACACACACACACACACACACACACACACTCCACAAATATATAACTCTTTGAATAGATAACCCTTATCTTGGGATATAAAGGAAAAACCTGCCTAAAAACTAAGAGCAGGAGCTGAGAAATGAAGAATATAAAGCCTTGGATATATCATTTAAGTCCTAGATAAAGTCCCTCCTAATTTCAAAAATTATCCATAGACTATTCAATCATGTGAGCCAATGAATACCAATTTTGATTATGCCATATTATGATTATTAGGTTTTTTTTGGGGGTCCGGTCGTGGGGCCTGAACTCTGGGCCTGGGCACTGTCCCTCAGCTCTTCAGCTCAAGGCTAGCGCTCTACCACTGGAGCCACAGCGCCACTTCCGGCTTTTTTCTTTTTGCTTATGTGGTGCTGAGGAATCGAACCCAGGACCTTGAGCATGCAAGGCAAGCGCTCTACCACTGAGCCACCTTCCCAGCCCATGATTATTAGTTTTTATTATGCCATATTAGTTCATCTGTTGCTGAAAACCAAAACAACATTAATCAACATAAGTAGTGTTGGTTACAAAGCCCTGGGGAATATGGTACTAGCATTTCCAATATAAATAATTTATATTAACTTAGGCTCAATGTTTTCTATACTTGATTACTCTGGTGAAGGTACTACCAATAATGATGATAAAGGTCTTCACATCAGAGTTTTTAATCTGTTGGGAGGAAATAAAACTGTGACATATTAAGTGGCTTTCAAACAAAAGAAAAATACTTGAAATAAAGAAAGATACAGGGGCTGGGAAGGTGGCTTAGTGGTAGAGTGCTTGCCTTGCATGCATGGGGCCTTGGGTTCGATTCCTTAGCACCACATAAGCAGAAAAAAAAGCCGGAAGTGGCACTGTGGCTCAAGTGGTAGAGCACTAGCCTTGAGCTGAAGGAGCTGAGGGACAGCGCCCAGGCCCAGAGTTCAGGCCCCACGACCGGACCCAAAAATAAAAAAAAAAAAAAAGAAAGATACAGATTGAGCACCTCTAATCTAAAATCCCAAATCTCAAACTTTTGAGCACCAATATACCACCACAAGATGAAAATTCACACCTGTTTTTGGGGAAAAAATTCTTACACACATGTACGCTTGAAAAGAATTTCATGCATGCTAGGCAAGCACTCTACCACTAAGCTACATTCCCACTGTCTTATATAATTCAAGTTTACAAGGTAGTTTCTCAAATCATTGTTGCAGTTCCACAAATTGAAATGTCAATTATATATAACATTATTTCTATTATCTGTCAAGTATCCTAAGTCTGTCATATACAAAGAAAAATTTTAAGGAAGGTTTTACTGCTAAATTAAAGTCGCCACCTTAAAACTGCTATTGAATAATGCTAGTATATCAGTCAAAAGCATATAGCAGGCATACATAATGAACACAAAGTGAAGAGATGTTAAACAGAAAACCCTCCCTCCTCTGGAGGCGTGGATTTGTTCTACAAAGCCTCCTATCATCCCAGTGGCCCACGACACAAGTGGGAGTTTTTTCTACAGTGACATGTGCTTGAGTTGCAGCGAAAAGGAAATGTGTCATCTGTGGTTTGGTTTTGAAAGTGGAAAGCTTGCTGTACAAAATTGTTTTAACTGCAGACTTACTGTAAGTTTCAAGGTCTCAAAACATAGTCTACTTTAAATAAGAAGACAAGAAAAGAAGTGGTTTATTAAAATTACATTATAATCAGAATTGACCAAGCATTTTGTAAGGTAGGTCATAAATCTTATTCTTTTCACTTATAACTTTGTTCAAACTTGTGTTTGAGGAAGTACTTTTTTCAAAAGGTACGTAAGAATCTCGTTAACAAAACAGAATCATAAGCTACTGAAAATGTATGCTGCTTTCTTCTGACATATGAAATTTTGTATGCAATATAAACAGTTAGAATTGGAAAGATTTATGATTGTTAGTATGGTTTAAATTCAAGGAATTTTAGGGAAAAATCTGAACTTGGGTTTTACAAGTAAAATTGAAACGTCTGATATTTTAAAAAGGTTTTAAAAATATCTCTCATTACTAATGCTTGGCCATTATACATTTTATTGAAAATGTCCAGAGATTTAAAAATGTAACAACTTTTAATCACATTGTGGCAAAATTAGAGAAGGAGAAACAGTCATCAATTCTCAGGCATTTATAAGGATAAGAGAAAGTCTCACTCTGTCATCTGCTTGTTTATTTGGGCACAATAGTACATCTGGCTGAAGACAATTGACAGGGGGCCTATTATCTGTCTTGTGGTAAGCTCTCCTAAAATGTGCACAAATGCTATGATGCATCCTACATTGTTAATTAACTGTGACAAGAATAACACACTTTAAAATCATTTTAGCATCTAATGCAGAAGTCCACTCTCAATTAAAAGGTTAGAAATCACTAATTCAATTTAAACTTTCTTTTCAGGAAAGAATCATAAGTATCCAAAGAGTTATATCATTCAACTTAAAAACTGAAGCCACTATATCTTAAGTGATAATAATAAATAATCCAAAAGATAATCTTGATCCTATATGCTACTTTTGTGTATGTAACCCAACATATCACACTTTCTATTCGCACTTTATTTCAATAGAATACAAAGTAGTATCTACTGACAAAAGCAACTATTACTAACTAAAAAAAATACCTTGGTGTTCAAAAGCCTGACTAATAGAATGGCATCTATGAGTTAAGAGACACAGAAGCTCAGGTACCATCCTAGACCTGTTGAATCAGAATCTGCATATGGGGGGAAAAGATTCTTCTACACGTGCAAGCTTGAAAAGAATTTCTACAAAATACACAAGGTTCTCAGCCAGTTCATTACCAAACCTCCAAACAATCCAGTTTTTGCTTTTAGTTCCCTCAAATAAACACTAAGAACAAAATACTCTTACAAAAGTAGCTCAGGACAAACAAATATTATTATAAAAGAGGTAACTTGCTAATGGTGAGAAAATATTTTCCTGCTAGATTATCAGTATCTGGAACAGATATGCCAGCTTTCCCCACATTTCTAAATTTATGGTAGATAAGAATTTGAAATATAACTTGTCCCCTTTTTGTATAGGCTTCTAGGATGTGCTCAGCCAAAATGGAGTCTCAACTTTTGGTGTTGTTCTTGCTCACACAATACCCACGCCACTGAATTGGGGTTCTGACTCCTACTGAAATCTCTCAACTTTTTCAATTTTATGTTGAGACCCTTTGTAATCTTCTACTTCATAATATGTCAAGTATCTTTGTGGCATTTTTATTGTATATCTTTCTTTAGACTCTTGGAATTAGATAGGTATTTTCAACAAAATATCCTTTTTGTTGAAATTTTAGAAGTTTAGAAGAAATTTGTTTTTCTTTGTTTGGAAGATCTTTACACTGAAAACACAAGCATGTTTTCCTTTTCAGAAAGTCACAGTAAGTTGAGATAAAATACAGATGAAAATGGAGAAGTAGCAACATAAAACTGCTTTCACAAATCTAGGAATGTATTTCTAAGTACTGCTTTATTATAAGTGTCAAGATAAATGCCCAAGAAGGAAAAACAAAATCAACTTGAATTTTGAAGTCTTCTTTTAGTTCTAGTTTCTTAAAAACTTCCTCTCTTTCCAAAAAAAAAAAGCCATTTGTATTTTCCTTTTACATATGAAGCAAAACCTTGCCACATTTTTCTACTGCAAAGATTGGTTAATGTGTGAGCTGGGAAGGTGGGGACTTCAAAAAGAACAGTCCATTTTTTATTTTTGTAAAAGAAAATGAGTAAACAGTCAAAGGAGAAGCATCTGTCTCAAAGCTGAAGTCTATCATGATGAAAGGAGAGAAAAGTATGAAAAGTAACAGTATTTAATTTGAAAAAGATATTTTTAATGTTTAACTTACAGCATCTAAACATATAATAGAAACTTAAATGATTATCTGTAAATAGTTTGAGACTAGGAAAGAAGGAATTCAACAGCAAATGTTAAGGCATGAGTTTATAGTTTATTTGTAATGATTGTCTTCTAATTACAAATACCAAATCTAGGAGCTATTATTCTTTCACAATTTAACAACTATATTGCTGTCCCCACAGATTACCAGAATATTCATGGATATGGAACACATAGGACAGTACCTACATCTTGCTTTTCTGATCACAATCACTTTTCCCTTGTCAACTGGAACTAAAGCCAACCATACACAGCTGTGGGCTAGTAAGCCTACTGCCTGGGATTCAGCTATTCAAAGCAGCCCAGACACACACCAAAATGGAAACATTAACTCAAACCCTGACTTTCCTCAAGTGGATTACAAAAATAATTCTACAAACATGCCAGAAATAGCAACCTCTTCTCACATGGCATCTTTACCTTCTAAATCTCAACAGGAGCTCTATACATCTTCTGTTGTCAACAACAGTTTTCTAATAACAGAAAGCTCTGAAAACACAAGCAAAAGTCATGATGAAGTTTTTAAAGAAAATGTCTGTGCGGAAAACAACATGGCTATGCTCATTTGCTTAATTATAATTGCAGTGCTTTTTCTTATCTGCACCTTTCTATTTCTATCAACTGTGGTTCTGGCAAACAAAGTCTCATCTCTCAGACGATCAAAACAAGTAGGCAAGCGCCAGCCTAGAAGCAACGGTGACTTTTTGGCAAACAGTGGGCTCTGGCCTGCTGAATCAGACACTTGGAAAAGAGCAAAACAGCTTACAGGACCCAACCTCATGATGCAATCTCCTGGAGTGCGCACAGCTACAAGGGAAAGAACGGATGAAGAAGGAACTGAAAAATTGACCAACTAACAGATGCTTTAGGAAATAAAAATGCAAAGTAGCTATGAGAAAGGTTATAGAGGAGAAAAACACAGTTCATTTGGAATTTAATGTCAAAGTGTTGGTCACAAAATCTAAAATTTGAAATCAAGTAGGGCAGGAAGGGAGGTGTATGCCTGCTTAATTACTTAAACTATGTATTTCTGTTTGACAATATTTTGAAAAGCAAATAAAACAACCATTTGGGGAAGGGTTTAAAGCTAAACCGAGGAAACTAACTAACAGTGATAGCAAGGAATAAATGAATCTTTTCTATTCAGCAATAATAAGATAATTTTTACCAATGGAACTGAACTTTGAAAAGTTTCATATGTCCTTAGAGCCAAGAGTATGCTTTAATATCAAACAGAAGTAAAATTCCTAATGTGCAGAGCTGAATTGTATAAATTAATGATAACCTTTGGTTAGATCTGGCATTAATTCATACTAGCTCTTATACCAATGTAGTTAATTTCATGCTACATCCTTCATTTTCATACACGGTTATATGAAAGAAAGTGCTTTACTACTATAAATATTAAAACCATTCTGTATAAATTAAGATCATTAGCATAAAACTAACCATGCATATTTGTATTTTATTGTCTTAGAACACATTATAATGATCTGTAAGAAATAAGGGCACGGGGCTGGGAAGGTAGCTCAGCGGTAGAGTGCATGTCTTGCAAGCATGAGGCCCTGGGTTCGATTCCTCAGCACCACATAAACAGAAAAAGCCGGAAGTGGCGCTGTGGCTCCAGTGGTAGAGCACTAGCCTTGAGCTGAAGAGCTGAGGGACAGCGCCCAGGCCCAGAGTTCAGGCCCCATGACCGGCAAAAAAAAAAAAAAAAAAAGAAAGAAAGAAATAAAGGCACATCAGAAGGCTAAGCATAAGTCTGAAGTATGAATTAGCATGTAAGAATAACATGTCTTTGAAATAAATGCTGCTTATTGGATCATTAGTAACAAGTACCTGGGGGGCGATGCACATCTGTAATCCTGCACTTGAGAAGCTGAGGCAGGAGGATCACTAAGCCAAATGGTAAGACTCTGTCTCAACCACTGCCAACAAACAAAAATACCAAATATCCTAAGGTTGGTTACTATTTGAACTTCAAGGATGCCAAGTGAATTAATAAAAGATAAATTTTCATTTTTATTATCCAATGTGATATCAACAAAGGAAAATGGGGGTATGTTTGTGTCTGTGCTCAGGTTTGAAAAATTACAAAGTCTATTCAAGGTAATTGTTTAGCTTGAATCCAAGCACAGTAAAAACTTAGAGTCAAGTCAAGCCTTCCATCTCAATTAGTTACATTTAAAAAATGTGTTTGGTTCTGGGTTTTATTCCTCAGCATCACATAAGCAGAAAAAAGCCAGAAGTGGCACTGTGGTTCAAGTGCTAGGGCACTAGCGTTGAGCCGAAGAGCTGAGGGACAGCATCCAGGCCCAGAGTTCAGCCCCCATGACCGACAAAAGTGTTTGGGTGAAGTTATGATAAGGCAATATAGCAAATTTTTCCATTTGGAAATTCAATCCATGGCCTGAATCTTATAATGCAAAAGGATAAAGGTTGAATTTTAATCACAATAAAAAATAAATAACAAGCTAGGCGCTGGTGGCTCACACCTGTAATCCTAGCTACTCAGGAGGCTGAGATCTGCCAGCCAGGGCAGAAAAGTCCACGAGACTCTGATCTCCAATAAAACACTAGAAAACTAGAAGCGGCTCTGTGGCTCAAGAGGTAGAGTGCTTGCCTTGAGCTGAAGAGCACAGGGACAGTGCCCAGGCCCAGAGATCAAGACCTACAACCAACAAAACAAAACAAACAAATGTATATACAAGTTTCCAGGCTAAGTCTTGGTAATAAGCATGTGTTTTGGGATCCAGATAGCTTATTATGAGCCTGACCTTGAAAATTTACAGTCTTTGTGTGCCTCAGTTTTCCCACATGTCAAGTGGAAATAGTAATACAGATTACCACGATCACTTATGAAGATCACTAAATTAGCTAATATTGATGAAGCTCTTAGAACAATGCATAGTTCATAAAAAATAATGCTTATGTTTATTATTAATAGTGCTTTAAAATGTGTGATATTTTCAAAATATCTACTGAAATGGACTAAGGGCATACTAATTAAAAACAAGGCTACATTAAAAAATCTACATTAAAATACTTAATGAGTACTATTTATTTTATGTTAATATGCTAGCCATTTAAAAATTACGTATTTTCCAAGTTGACCACAATTTTATCCTCCCTTCTTGACTAGTGGTTTTCACTTTGGCTATAAATAAGAATCATATGAAGGATTAATAAGACAGTAACAAATAGAACACAAACACCTATCAAGGCCTAATTCTTACACTCTCTGATCCAAATAGAATGAGGAGGAGTTTCAAGCACTGGCAATTTTTACCTAACTGCCTAGATGGTTCTGCTTCTGGCCAACAAATTTACTTCTTACAATTTCCATAATTGCATCTTTAAATGAGGTGGGAAACCCCACTAATTTATTACGTTGTTTAAAATTCTAAATAAAGCTAGTGAAGTAAAATGCTAGCAAAGTAAAACATGAAAGAATACTGATACCAATCTTGGTAACATCTAGATATCTATTTTAGATTAGAAATAACTCCGGGAAGTTTTCTCACTTTATACAAATTAAAAATATGAGGTTAGACCCCAGAACTCAGGGTGATAACACATGCCCTCTTTTAATCAAGTGACATAAATACAGAGGAAACTAAAGCAAAACAGCATCTTTGTAAAAATGAAAAGTTAACTAGGAAACAATTTTCATGCTCAATATTTTCTCACCAAACAGAAAGCCTTTATTTCTTCAGAATACTTAAAATTCACTACCACTGGCTGGGAATGTAGCTTAGTGGTAGAGTGCTTGCCTTTCATGCATAAAGCCCTGGGTTCAATTCCTGATTACCCCATACATAGAAAAAGCTGAAAGTGGTGCTGTCTCAAGTGGTAGAGTGCTAGCCTTGAGCAATAAGCAGCTCAGGGACAGTGCCCAGGCCCAGAGTTCAAGCCCTAGGACTGGTACACTACTCCTTACTACCTTGCTAGTAAATACCTATCTTCAGAATAATACTAGCAAATAATACTTCATGAACAAACACAAGTGGTTCATAAGCTGGGCCAGTCTGTGGCTCATATCTGTAATTCTAGCTACTAAAGGAGGCTGAGATCTGAGGATCGAGGTTTGAAGCCAACAGACAAATCTGTGAGACTCGTATCTCCAATTAACCAGTAAAAATCCAAAAGTAGAGGTATTGCTTAAGTAGAGAACACTAGCCTTAGGATGAAAAAGTCAAACAAGACTTTGGGGCTGAGTTTAAATCCCGGTACTAGGACATACATGTACGTACGTACACACACACACACACACACACACGTTCATTTTCAACATTGGTAGGTATTTAAAGATGGTCAGTAAGACACTTCTGACCCAAAATTTATGTGTGTGGGTTTTTTTTTTTAATTTAAAAAAACCACACTGCTGGGAAGGTGACTCAGTGGTAGAGTGCTTGCCTTGCATGGATGAGGCACTGGGTTCGATTCCTCAGCACCACATAAAGCAGAAAAGGTTGGAAGTGGTGCTGTGGCTCTAGTGGTAGAGTGCTAGCCTTGAGCTGAAGAGCTGAGGGGCAGTGTTCAGGCCCAGAGTTCAGGCCCCACAACTGACCTAAATAAATAATAAAAAAAATAAAAAAATAAAAAAACACACTAATTTCCTACCACTAGAAATTAGGTTTATCAAGTTAATTCAGGCACTTAAAAATTTGTAACAGCTGGTATGGTGATACATACCTATATCTCAACACTTAAGAAGCCAAGGCAGAAGGACTAAGAGTTTAAGGCCAGCCTATCCTACATATGAAATGCTGGCATGGCTCAAGGGTACAGTGCCAGTTTAGAAAGTACAAAGCTGAGTTCAAAACCCCCAGTACTGCCAAACAAATAAACTTTTATTCCTTTTATCTTAGCATTCTCTTCTTCTTCCCTTCCCTCCCCACTGCTGAACTCAGGGCCTTGAAGCTCACTAGGCAGGAACTCTAATGCTTAAGCCAAGCCTCCATCGAGCCCCTTTTACTCTAGTTATTATAGGGTCTTTTCTTTTGCCCAAGCCTGCCTGGACCAGTTTGATCATCAGATTTATGCTTCCTGCCATAGTTGGGAAGACGTGTCTATTGAGATAAGCATCTCTGGAACTTTATTGCTCAGACTGAACTGCAGTTCTAATGATCCTCCACACCTTCTGCATAGCTGAGATGATAGGTGTGTTTTACTTACTTTGCTTATTTTTTACTTAAAAAAAAAACTATTTAAATCTAGGGTTTAGAGTCATGATCCCAGCACTGAAGAAAGAAAAAAAAGAGAAGAAAAAGTATTTGGCAAAGATAATTTAATTACACTGTTACCTGGGCTCTGCCTACATAATAAATGAGAAAAGAATAACACTGCTTACCTACCACGTGGGGGATACTTACAAATATTATTTAATTCTTACAATAATCCAATAAAGAAATTCTCCTTCAGAGGAGGAAATGGTGACTCAGAAGTATAGTGACTTGCTTAAGATCATACAAGCAAACATCATTACTTCTTCCAAAAAGAAATATCACTATGGGTTAATATCCAATGAACAGATTTCCCCCAGAAAGCATAATTTTTCTTGTCAATGTTTCATTTTAAACATTTAAGTGTTATAAATCATATTACTAGAGCATCTTACGGTTTTTTAAAATAAACATTAATTCAAAGCACTCCAATCATATAGCCCCAAATTGTGTTTCAACATGAGTTCTGTTAAGCAGTGGTATGTATCTTAGTCATTTTTGTGGCTTCCTGTTCTTCCTGTTAACAGCTATTGATAAACTTCCTCTGTTCTACAGAAACCATTTCAGTGTGCTAGAGGAGCACTTTAATCTGAATTGGACCACCCTCTTACCTTTCTTAGCCAAATCACCAAATGATCTATTAGAACAAGAATTTACCATTCTGCAAAAGAAGTTAACAGGTAAGAAAAATTTCACACATAGGCTATTTGATGTGATTTGATTTTAAAACCCAAAGAATCATTAGTATTTTTAACTTGAGTTCAATCTCGATAGTTAAAAATGTCTCTAACAGGTTTTGTGGTTTTGTTGCATAGAATTAAAAATATTCAATGTCAAGCTTGCTTTAGAGAAAAGTTTTCAACTAGGTTTTTATATTGTAAACCCTTTGAGGTCTATTCAATCAAAATATTTGTTAACCTTATTTTTGTAATTAAAAGAAACAATATACAGTCATGACAGATAAAGCTGAAGTTTAGAAAATACAACTAGATTCCATGAGATATGACTGCATTTACAACATAAAAATATTAATTATTAAAAAGTTTAGGTATCAGGTTATATCTTGGTGCTGAGTGCAGTAGTGCACTTACTTAAGTAGAGTTATGTGGACTCCCCCATCATCACAAAGAAAAAAAAATCTAACTTGGTTTCTATAAAAACTTCTCTATCCATAATATAATCTACAGATATAAATCTTTTTCATTTTTTAATCCCCTTTAGTTTCCATAGTAAAAATATCATCTTGCCTTCACTTAATTTAAAAAGAAATTAGATGGATACTTAATTATCATGTTTCATTTTCATACAAATAGAATGTTATAATTAAGTAATAATGAAGACATGAAAATATTCTAATTTGTTTTAAAAGCTTCCTAAGACAAAACTATTAAGATAAAATGAGTATACATATTCTCACATTAACTACATATCTATGTCACATATTCTTATCTGATCTTTAAAAAGGATATAAGATACAAATAAAAAGTACAAAACTGTTACTTATATATAAAATATGTGAGCAAACTGGGCAATTACAAAGTCAATTTGTCTTTTAATAAAAATTGCAGAGGTTCAATAGGTCTATGTTTTTGAAGAATAATAAATCTCATAATGGGTGATAATTTAGTTTAAAATTTCATAGATACTATGATTCTCCTAACATGTCATAGTGGCCTTTTTATCTATTGGAGAAGCTAGAAAAAATATATTTTTTTAAATTTCTCTAATAAAGAGTTTCCTTTTCTTTCTTTCTTTTTTTTTTTTCAGTGCTGGGGGATGAACCCAGGAATTTGCATGATAGGCAAGTGTTCTACCACTAAGCTCCAGCATCAGTGTTAATGCTGGGCTTAGTACTACACATGTCTAATACATGCAGACTCCTACCCCACTGCAACTGTGTTTAAAATGCTTTTTATTTAAGACTATTTACATTTTCCTCTTCTTAAAAAAACTTTTTAAATACTCAGGAAAGGGCAAAATGCAAATTTAAACTTCAAAGTGCCAGCCTAAAATAATGAGGAAAATATCACAATGTGAAGGTAGTTAAATTTGGATTTTGCCTGAGATTATAAAGGATTTCTAGAGAAGTTCCACATAAGATTATGTACAGGCAATTTGGAGTAATTAGCAGATGTGCTTCTAGGTAGTGTCAGGGAGGAAGATAAACAGGCAGGAAGTGGACAGGGGAGAAGAGGGAATCTTCAGGATTCTTATAGAAGCTAGGCAAGCCTAAAATGAAGGCTAAGTAGGTTTGAGTACTCATCTACTCAAGGCCTCCAGCTTGGACAGATTACTTCCCTGTATTGTGGATGCAGACCAATGACAGGAGTACAACTGTGTGCCTGTTTCTCTCATCTGGATCTCTCTCTTCAAACTTCACTTTACCCACTTCTATCTTCTACAAGAACTTACTGCTCTTCCTAGACATTTGTTAACTTTTCTTTTCAATATCTTCTATCAACCGATCCTTCCCTTTCCATTAAATTTTTGCTTTCTATAAATTTTGTTTCAAAAGTGGTAAACTTAGGCCCAGTGCCAGTGGCTCATGTTTGTAATCTTAGATAGGAGGCTGAGATCTGAGGATCACAGTTTGATGCCAGCTCAGCTAAGGAAAGTCCATGAGACTCTTATCTCCAATAAACTATTCAGAGAAAGCCTGAAGGAGAGTTGTGGCTCAAGTGGTAGAGTGTTAGCCCCGCGCACAGAGGCTCAGGGACAGAGACTGAGTTCAAGCCCCAGGACAAGCAAAAAAAAAATTTTTTTTTTTGTTTCAATTTTCTCTTTTGGGTTATTTGTTTTTCTTCTGTTATTTTTCTGTTCCACATTAAGTTTTTCTTACTATTACCTGGTCTCCACACAGAAACAATATATACTTTAGGTACAAATCATATATTTGACACTACCTTCATTACCTTTGGAAAAAAAAGTTTAATTTTTACATCTCCTACTTATTCTTCTTTAAGTCTTTGATGCTTCTTTTCTGGACTACTTTGAATTGCTATAGTAGGATACTAATAGATTCCAGTATTATGATGTAGAAAAACCTAGGAGGGTAAACTGGGAGAAAATGGTGAGAGAGTTCCAAAATGGAATTCTGTAGTTAATATTGTGCTAACAAGTGAAAAATCTCACAATGAAATTTCTACCAACTTCTTACTGACATTAAGGATATAAACCTACTAAAATTGATCTTACCAACTAAACTGGGTTTCAAATTAGGTTCCTGTTTTTACCATTTCCCCTATTTCCTTTTTCAGCTAACTAAAAAGAGGAACGGTATTTTTTTAAAAACTAAATTATTTTAAGCAGTCACAAAAGAGGAAAACATCTTCGGCTGAAGACAATTCATGGCCTATATCTTCTGCTGCTTTGGAAAGCATTTTCTAAAATCATTTTAAAAGTGAAACATTCAAGAATAACATTTTCTAACAAAGCCCTTTTTTGGTAATCTACAAAAATAGTGAATTGGAACTGCATAGATTATTTAGTTCTCATGTCTATGCCAAAAATTCCAAATCTGTTCCTTTTTGCAAAATGAATAAAACATTTTGCAAAACAGATAAACTGAATTTACTGAGCTGCATTTGGTAGTGCATTCATCTAAACTCAGCATTTAGGAAGCTGAGGCAGGAACATCCTAAGTTCAAGGCCAGCTTGGGTTACACAGTAATAGCTCATCTTAAAAACAAGCAGAACAAAAACACCCAGAATTTACTTACTTAGATTTTACCTTTTTTTGCTTATACCTTGGTAGAAGTCTTTTGGCAGTAATAGGGTTTGAATTCAAGGCCTTAAGCAGGCTATCAATTGGGCCATATTTCCTAGTCCTTTCTTCTGTAGTTAAACACATACATACACACACACACACACACTACAATCATACACTCATGCTTGACTTGTTCTTTGACATAAGGTCTTGCAATTTTGGGGGGAGGGGTAAGGGGAAGAGGCCTTGAGCTTGGGTTAGCCTTGAACCATGATTTCTCTATCTTTACTATCAATTAGCTGGGATTATAGGTGTGAGCCACTTCTTAAAGAAGTCTTAATAAAAGTGAAAAAAGAAGCTGCATGCCAGTAACTTACACCAGCCAGTAGTCCTAGCTACTTGGGAGGCTGAGATCTGTAGTTCAAAGCCAGCGCAAGCAGGAAAGTCTGTGAGACTCTTATTTCCAATTAATCACAAGAAAAGCTGGAAGTGGCACACTGTGGCTCAAGTAGTAGAGTGCTTACCTTGAGCAAAAGGAGCCCAGGGACAGTGCCCAGGCCCACAGTTCAAGCCTCAGGACTGGCAAAACAAAACAAAACAACAACAGCAAAACCCCCACCACAAACAGTGGGAAAAGTGAAATAGAAAGAAGAGGACTAATATGGATCAAATGTTTACTGAGTGTCTAATATGGAAGGTACTTTTACTGAAGAGGAATCAAATTATGAGGCCTGTGGGGTAGAGAAATTACATAGATCTTGGTACAAATCCTTACACTTAAGTCATTTCAATTTATCTCTTGATTGGTATACCACAAAGCCATTCCTCTGAAGCCATTTAAAGGTTCAATGAAACAAAATACATACATCATCAGTGTTAAAACAACACATAGTATATGCATGCTTAGACAAGGTCCTTTTTTTTCTACTTTTTTCTTTTTCATTTCCTTTCCTAGGTCCTGCCCCTCCTCCTTCAGAATTCTCTTTAATCTTGTTTGAGATGAGAGTGATGAAAAGACAATGTGAAAAGCCAAGCAATAAAAAAAAAGAGCAAATTACATGTGGGAGTAGGGTATGATGTTCCTCCCCCCATTATTACTGTTCAGCAAGATGTGGGCATTTAGGGGCTGGGAAGGTGGCTCAGTGGTAGAGCGCTTGCCTTGCATGCCTGAGGCCCTGGGTTCCATTCCTCAGCACCACATAAAGCAAAAAGAAAAAAGCCGGAAGTGGCGCTGTGGCTCAAGTGGTAGAGCGCTAGCCTTGAGCTGAAGAGCTAAGGGACAGCACCCAGGCCCAGAGTTCAGGCCACACGACCGGACCACCCCCCCCAAAAAAAGATGTGGGCATTTGTTCAAACACACAGAAGCAAAGGTAGCAAGAATACAAATGGATGATTCTAGGTGAAGAGTACTCAGGGAAGTAAAACTTCCATGAAACCAAAAAAATCTCAGAATAAAAAATTGGTGGACTAAGCCAGGTGCCAGTGGCTGTTGTGCTAGCTACTTAGGAGGCTGAGGTCTCCCATTAACAAGAAATAAACAAGAAGTTAAATTGTTATTTAAGTAGCAGCACTAGCCTCAGCTAAAAAGCTAAGGGATAGCATGCAGATCCTACGTTCAAGCACTGGTATTGGTGAGCACTGTGTGAACACACACACACACACAAAATTGGTTGACTCAAAATTGCTAAAAGTTGGTGGCCCAGGTATAAAAAAACAAACAAAAACCCCTAACCTAAACTGTGTGAAAAAAAAAATGGACAGCTAATTAAACAATAAAAAACAAAAAGAGCTGGGCACCAGTGGCTCACGCCTATAATCTTAGCTACTCAGGAGACTGAGATGTGAGGATCACAGTTCAAAGCCAGCCCGGGCAGGAAAGTCCGTGAGACTCTTATCTCCAATAAATCACCAGAAAACCAGAAGTGGTGCTGTGGCGCAAGTCGTAAAGTGTTCTCCTTGAGCTGAAGAGCTGAGGGACAGTGCTCAGGCCCAGAGTTCAAGCCCCACGACTGACCAAAAAAAAAAAAAAAAAGGAGAATTCAAACAGTTGTGCAAGATAAAGACAGATACAGATATGCAATCAGAAGGGCAAAAAAGGATAGACTTGGAAAAAAAGAAAACATCCATAGGGTGAAAAACAGCATAATTAAAAGTGTTTAGGGTAAAAAATGTGTATTTGGAAAGTATGAAAAGAAGAAAAGTCAGTTTAGAAGTCTTATCTCAACAGCAATGGGAAACCCTCAAGCAAGGGAGCACTTAATGTAATTCATCATAAGCAGGAATTCTAATGAGAACTTTAAAGTAAGGCTTAACACACCATGGAGAAAAGAGAGACAGACAACATGGAAATCAATCGTGTATTTTTTCCTTACTAAAATGGGGCACTTTTGGAATACACTTGCAATATCACTCAGCAGGTGAAAATGGGAGGAAGGAGAGTTTGAGCCCAGCCTCAAAACATAGCTAGTTCAAGTCTAGCTTGGGCTATATAGTGAAACCCTGTCTCAAAAGCAAAGCAAAACAAAACAAAAACCCACAAAGAACACTCATCTCCAAAAAGATGGGGTCTCATTTTATTATCACTGCTTTACCAGTAGTAGAGGGACAACCAATGAAAACTACTCAAAGCATGAAAGTCTACTTTTCTTTTTCTGCCCATCTTGAGGTTTGAATTCAGAGCCTGGGTACTGTCCCCGAGCTTTTTTTGCTCAAGGCTAGCACTCTACCACTTGAGCCACAGCACCACTTCTGGCTTTTCTGCTTATGTGGTACTAAGGAATCAAACCCAGGGCTTCATGCATGCTAGACAAGCACTCTACCACTAAGCCACATTCCCAGCCCAGAAAATCTACTTTTAAAACCTTTAATTGTGCCTTGGAACAGAACAACAAAAAATGTCTCTTCAATAAATCTACAGATTAATTTTAGTTTTTTATCATATGTAACATTGAGGTTTTGCTTTCCTTAATGTTAAGAAATAACTGATAGTTACCACTGTGTTTGGTATAGTTCAAAACAAGTATACTCAGAGCTAAAAGTTGTCTTGGTATAGCTCTTCACTTTAAGGCAGAAGTGAACAGATTGTGTGACTAGTCTCATGGCTTAATAGGTAGTAAGGTGGCAGAAGCAGAACCAGAACTTAATTCTTCAAGTTTTACTCTCTGCCACATCCACAAAAAACCCCAATGTGCTTCCTTTTTCATGCCTGTATGTTCATCCCAAATGGATCATTCCTTTGCTAACTTAGTTCTTACAGACCTTTTAAGATTCAGTTCCAGTTTTAAGTCTCTGGGAAACTGACCCTGAAACCTGTCCAGGCTAGGTTAGTTCCACTATGTACCCCTGAGTAACTTTGTGAGGAAACATCAAATGACTGTAATTATTTTTTCCTGGTATTTCAACCACAAGAATATGAACCACTTGAAACTATTTTTTATGTTAAACCTAGCCAGAACCTGACAAAAATCTAGTAGTCACTAATACATGACTAAAAGTAGCAGCAGGCTTACTTGACTATGACTTGACTAGATTCAGAGATCACTAAGATTCTGACCCTAAGAGTTGAACTGATTCTTTTTAAAACTATGGGATATAAGAATACAGTGCTAGATCTAGCACAAAAATTACTAATACAATAAACTGTGTATAAGAACCTTAGTGGTGAGGCTGGGAAGGTGGCTCAGTGGTAGAGTGCTTGCCTTGCATGAATGAGGCCCTGGGTTTGATTCCTCAGCACCACATAAGCAGAAAAAGCTGGAAGTGTCAGAGTGCTAGCTAGCCTTGAGCTAAAGAGTTGAGGAACAGTGCCCAGGCCCAGAGTTCAGGCCCCATGACCAAAAAAGAAAAAAGAATCTTAGTGGTATGAACAACTAAAATATCAATTTCATTAGAGTAATCAGTTTTGAAGTGAAGATGGATTCCATTTTTAAACATGTCAAATTTGCTGATAGTGATATGTACACACACACACACACACACACACACACACACACACACACACACAATAACCACCAAGGAGCATACAAATGGACTTAAAAAAAAAAGAAGATTTAGTTTGGTTATGTAGACCTGGGAGTTATAGCATAGAAGGTCTGAAGAAGAGTTTTATTTTTTTCCCCCTGGTCCTGGACTTTGTGTTCAAGGCTAGTGCTCTACCACTTGAGCTACACTCCATACACTCCATTTCTGGCTTTTTTGGTAGTTTTAGTAGAGATAAGAATCTCACAGACTTTTCTGCCTGGGCTGGCTTCAAACTGTTATCCTCAGATCTCAGCCTCCTAGTAGCTAGGATTGTAGGCTTGAGCCACCAATGCCAAGTGAAAGAAAATCTTTGACTCATAAAGTAGATAACTGCAGATCAGGAGTTATGTCATGAAGATGTGAAGAAAACACAAAGAAAAATTTTGAAACAGAATAGATAAGGGTGATTACTGAGTATCAACTATCTATGAGAGGCATAAGGGAGAGTAGTGGAAGGTCATGGTTGTCTTACAAAGAGCTAGTCAAATATTAGTGAAAGAATAGTCAACTATGTCCAATGGTGAAGAAAGGGGAAAGAGAAAAGTAAGGACAAGAGGATTATGGTAGCAGATTGTCACTGGTATTCCTCAAGGTAACAGGATCATTTGTACACATTTGTAGGAACAGAGGGCAAAAAGAACAAGTACCTGGACCTAGCACACTGAACTATGCACTTAAGAAGTATGAGCTGAGCTGAGGAGTTAATACTGTTAATAGTGTTAAGGAGAGAGGGGCCACAGGGCCAAATACAGAGCCAAGAATTAGGAGACCACTGCCCAGGAGATCCAAATGCTACATAATGAGTTGGACTATACAAGATTTGTTTATAGTAACCTATGGTGAGTCAAATGTAAATTAGCATAGTAAATACAAATCAGGTGTCTACCTGCTTTTTATGTCAGTCATTCTAATGATAGTCAATGTAGGAGGAGAAGGTGGAAGGGAAAAAGATGGAAATTGAATACTTTTGAAACATATTGCAAGTATGTATGAAAACAGTATAAAGAACCTCAATGAGAGTTTTTGATCAATACGGGGACAGTGATATAGAGGATGAGATTAATTGGAATATATTGTAAATATGTGTGAAAATAATTAACAATGATCCCCCATTTCAGTATAACTGATATAATAAAAAAAGAAAAACAAATGTAATTTGACATCAAATGATATGTCTTTTTTCTTTCTTTTGTTGTAAAACCACTGGTAAGGAAGAAATATTCTAAAATGGATCGCAAATATTTCATCATAATTTTGTTTTGTGAATACATGAACAATGTATTTTTCTCAGAGACAAAGGCCATACCAGAAAAGGAGCCACAATCTGCTTTAATTACATCATCAGTGCCATATATCTCAACTAATTCTCAAAACACAACAGGAAATGCTTTGGATCAACTAACACAATTCAACATTTCTTCTGGACAACCAATATCACCTGCCAAAATCAACGCTGAACAACCAACACCGGCTATTTATGTTTCTTCTGGGAAGCCAGCAGCTCACACTTCTGGACAACCTGACAACATCATCAGTCTACCAATTCCAACCATCAATACCTCCTTTCTACAAACAGCACCTCCTGTGTTCACCTCTGCTAGACAACTACCAGATTCTCCCCATACTTCCACCAAACAACCACTGGATGTCTTCACTCCCTCTCAACAATCACCATTACTTGTTTATAACTCTTCTAAAACACCAGTGCTACCAACTGTTCATAATCTATCCATACAGCCAACATCAACTGTTTACTTACCTAAGACTATCAATGTAACGAGGAATACACCAGTGTTCACCTCAAAACCTACCAGTAACAAAAGAATTCCACATAAAACTAATTATAATGCAATAGCTGCTATATTAATTGGTATAATTTTGATTTCTATGTTGGTAGCTATACTGATGATCATCCTATGGAAATGTTTGAGAAAACCAGTGTTAAGGGACCAAAATTGGGCAGGTAGATCTCCATTTGCTGATGGAGAAACTCCTGACATATGTATGGATAACATTAGAGAAAATGAAATATCCACGAAACACACATCAATTGTTTCACTTATGACCTGGAAACCAAACAAAAGCACACATATAGTAGATGATTTAGCAGCTAAGTTGTTTGAATCAAGTGAAAATATTGGAGATGCCATCAATTCCAAAACAGACAAAATAAAAGATCCAGGAACTGGCACATCAGAGGACAGTGCTGACCGATCAACTATTGGTACTGCAGTTTCTTCTTCAGATGATGCAGATCTGCCTCTTCCACCACCTCATTTTGTTGATGCGGAAGGACAAGACAGGAACCAGTCAGACAAACCCACAATAACTGCATCTTCTTGTGCAAATGATTCTACTTATCTTCAACCATCTCTGGACAGTCTAAATCAAGCCTATGAAGATGATAATTCTGAGAACAAACAACCATTTCCATCACACTCTGACTTACTTAACTTGCCCTTGCCACTATATTTTACCAAGAGTCAAGAAGATTTCAACAATGAGATCCAATGTCAGGAGTTCTCTATTCTTCCTGCCTCTGATCAAGATCTTACTGAATCCTTGCCACTGCCACCGCCACCTGAAGAACTGTTGTAAATACTTTTTGGCTTGTCTTCCATCCATGAATCCATCTTTTATTGTTCTTTGTGTGATGAACAATATAAAATGAAAACTGTAGTCAATTCTGACTTCTACTCAGGAACTACCTGAAATGTGCTCAAAGCTTGTATGTGTAAGCAGAATGTTTTTCTGTATTACAGAGAGGGGTTTTTTAACTATAGTGCTTATCTTTTTTTGAACTCAGGGCCTGGGTACTGTTCCTGAGCTTCTTTTGCTAAAGGCTAGTGCTTTACCACTTTAGCCACAGCTCTACTTTTGGCTTCTACTGAACAGTTTATTGGAGATAACAATCTCAGTGACTTTCCTGCCAGGTTGGCTTCAAACCACAATCCTCAGATCTCAGTTTTCTCAGTCGTGAAAATTATAGGCCTGAGCCACCAGCACATGGCTACAGTATATCTTTAAAGAACTGTATATTTTGTACAGAGCATGATAGAAGTCAATTGGAAATCAGTAATACATATATTTAATATTACCAGTAGATTTGTTTCCTGTAAAGTTGCATATAAACTTGAAAAATAAAGTTTTATTTTTCTATCTCAAACTTTGGCATGGAGAAGAATAAAAGATACATTCTTCAAGTTTTAAATGAACACTTAGTTCATGAAGTCTTAAGGGAGTGAGGGACTAAGTTTAAGGTTTGGGTGTGGGGGGTTGTTTTTTGTTGTTTTTAAATGCCAGTACTGAGGCTTGAACTCAAGGCCTCATGTTCTTGCTTGGCTTTATTTGCTCAAGGCTGGCACTCCACCACCTGAGCCACACTTGCAGTTTGTCTTTTTTTGTTTTTTGGTGACAGTCCTGGGGTTTCAACTCAGGGCCTGGACACTGTCCTTGAGCTTTGTGCTAAAGGTTAGTGTTCTACCACAGCTCGACTTCCAACTTTTCTGGTGCTTAATTGGAGATAAGATTCTCACAAACTTTCCTTTCTAGGCTTTGAACTATGATCCTTAGACGACCTCAGCCTCCTGAATAGCTATGATTATAGGCCTGAACTATTTGCACCTAGGTTTAGTTTGTTTTTAACTCATCTTTTTATTTTTGGGGGGGGGGGTCGGTCATGGGGCTTGAACTCTGGGCCTGGGTGCTCTTCAGCTCTTCAGCACAAGGCTAGTGCTCTACCACTTGAGCCACAGTATCACTTCTGGTTTTCTGTTGGTTTATTGGAGATAAGAGTTTCATGGACTTTCCTGCCAGGGCTGGCTTTGAGCCGTGATCCTCAGGTCTCAGACTTCTGAGTAGCTAGGATTACAGGCGTGAGTCAACAAATAATTTAAGCCAGGCTTAAATTATCTTTTAAATGTACAATTTCATCATTAACCTCATTACCTGACAACTGATCTTTGTGAAATACCAGAACAGTGATATGCCAAACCTGTCAAAGTCTAACTTGTGGAGATTTCAACTTGTAACTACAGAAGTTCTTCTTTGTCCATCAAGTGCATAATTAACCTTTGAGATCCTCTTACAGTTTTGGGATTTTTCAAATGAAGTACAGCATGTTTATGTAGCATTAGTGGTCAAGAAATTAACAAAGCCGCATCTATAATCATAGCCAGGGACTTCACATACAATGCTTATCCATTGATCTTCAGGTCTCCCTTCCTGACAATTAACACTTAGTGCAGAAGTATTTTCTTGAACTTTGTAAGCATGATGTTTATCATATTACATTAGTTCTTTCTAACACATTAAAATATTTCTTTCATGTATTTTTCAAACTTACCACTTTTAATTTTTACAGAAAGCAATCAGGAGTTTAAGAATTTCTCCTTATTCTTTTGAATTTAAGTATTTGAGCAAGGGTAAATGGGAAACTTTTGTCTTTGAAATGTCTTCAATCATCTTTTTTTGTTTGTTGTCCAAGACCAGGCCTTGAATTCAGTATCTGATGCTTGTGCTCACTGGTTGGCTGGCACTCTACCACCTGAACCATACCTCCAATCACAACTTGCATCATCGTAACCCACCTCATTTCACATATTAAGGGCTCTGTTCACAACTTAGCTCCTTTCCACCATCTTTTTTCGTGTTCTTTTGAAGGATGGGAATTAGGAAATACTCTTACTCCAGGTGCTGGTGGTTCAGGCCTGAAATCCTAGCTACTCAAGAAGCTAAGATCTAAGGATTGAAATTCAAAGCCAGACTGAGCAGAAAAGTCTGCAAAACTATCTACAATAAACCAGCAAAAAAGCCAAGTGAGGGCATGAGGTCCTGAGTTTAAGCCCCACTACTGAAAACAAGGGAGGGTGTGTATCTGTGGGGGGGGGTTAATTACACGACACTTTTAAATGTTAAAACTACCAAAAAATAGTAAAAGATATGTGCAAACTAGGAAAAAAATAATTGTACCTTTAATCACGATAAAGTGCTAATGTCCTTAATAATTAAAATTCTCCCAAATAGGATAGGGGAAATGATAAATAGTTGTAAAACAAAACAAAACAAAAAGAGTCAAAAAAGAGTCCAATTTCTTTGAGAATTTCACAATAAAGTTTGAACAGTATGTATGGCCCTAAACTTGAAATGAGAAACATTGTCACTACTATCATTGTATTAGTATCATATACATTCAGACCATCTGAACATGATACAGATTAAACCCAAATTTTTTTGAATCTATCAGCTAATGAAACAATGCATCCTTTCAAATACAAACACCAGGAAAGATAAGAGGATTTGGTAACTACTTCCACACTTGTATAGTGAGGCTTCCTAAAATTAAAGAAAATGAAGTGCTTGCTGGGAGCCAGTGACCCATGCCTGTAATCCTAGCTACTCAGGAGGCTTAGATCTGAGAATCATGATTCAAAGCCAGCCTGGGCAAGACAGTCTGTGAGACTCTTACCTCCAATGAACTACTCAGAAAAAAGCTGGAAGTGGCATTATAGCTCAAGAGGTAGAGCACTAGCCTTGAGCACAAAGAGGCTCAGGGACAGAGCCATGTCCCTGAGTTCAAACCCCAGGAGCAGGGGGGAAAAAAAAGCAACTATGCTTGGTAAATTGATATTTAGTCAAACCTCTTTTTTTTTTTTTTGGGTCTGGTCGTGGGGCCTGAACTCTGGGCCTGAGCACTGTCCCTCAGCTCTTCAGCTCAAGGATAGCGCTCTAACACAGCGCCACTTCCGGCTTTTTTCTTTTTGCTTATGGAGTGCTGAAGAATCGAACCCAGGGCCTCAGGCATGCAAGGCAAGCGCTCTACCACTGAGCCACCTTCCCAGCCCCCTAGTCAAAACTCTTAAAGTTCAATAGTATACACAGGAACTGGCATATCTACAAATGCCCCAAACAACCCAATCTCTATACTCTTAACGATATTTCTTCCTTTTTGTGCCATTACTAAAGCTTAAACTCAGGGCTTTGAGCTCTCTCAGCTTCTTTGTTCATGTCTGGCACTTTATCACTTAAGTCATATCTCCAATTTCAGCTTTTTGTTGTTTCCTTTGGAGATAAAAGGATCTTCAAGAATGGGTATTAGGAAATACTCTCATGCCAGGTGCTTTGGATTGATTTGTCTGTTTGGTCTGGCTTTGAATTGTGATCCTCAAAATCTCTGCCTCTTTCATGATCTCTGCCTCCTTAGTAACTAGAATTATAGGCTTGAGACATCACTGGTAGCTGGACTAACAATATTTATTTTATTTTTTTATTTTTATTTTTTGTTGGTGGTGGAGCCTGAGCTCTGGGCCTGGGCACTGTCCCTCAGCTCTTCAGCTCAAGGCTAGCGCACTCTACCACTTGAGCCACAGCACTACTTCCGGTTTTTTTACTGCTTATGTGGTGCTGAGGAATCGAACCCAGGGCCTCATGCATGCGAGGCAAGCACTCTACCACTGAGACACCTTCCCAGCCCCAGGATTAATAATATTTATGAATGTAATACTTTTTAACACATTACAATTGATGACTGTTTTCTGAAATCCATAGAAAGATTCTAGAGCCCAGATAAAACCTCAAAATAAAGTGGCAATAAAACACCTAATCAATAATAAATTTGTAGTGTTGCAGACTTATAAAATGTAGATAATTCTGAAGGAACATTAGTTTTATATAAAAAGTAACTACAAGAAGATAGCTTCTTTTTCAAGAAAATACACTAAGAGATTTCTCCATGCGTACATTTCCCTACATGTCTCTGTGGGGGTATTAGTTGTTTTCATCACTTCCTTCTATAGTCTTGTCTCTAATTTTTTGTAATAACAAGGCAAATTGGCCATTCTGGAAATTGGTTTGGAGCATCATAAATCTGATCTCATTTGAAAAATTTACTATGATTTTCTTTTAAATATATTTCATATAATTGTAAATTAACTTTCTCAAAAAGAAAATACAGAAGACTAAAAGTCACTTGAAATTGATTTTTAATCTCTAAACTATCTGAAGGAAACACTACTTATATCTAAGAGTAAGTTTTAAGCATTTAATCCTATACACATGGTCAATGTTATTATTTTTTGCCTGTCCTGGAGAGCTTGAACTCAGGGTCTGGGTGCTATCTCGAGCTTTTTTGCACAAGGCTAACACTCTACCTTGAGCCACAGCTCCACTTCTGGCTTTTTGGTGGTTAATTGGAGATAAGATTCTCATGGACAGGGGTTGGGAAGGTAGCTCAGTAGTAGAGTGCTTGCCTTGCATGCCTGAGGCCCTGGGTTTGATTCCTCAGCAGCACATAAGCAAAAAGAAAAAAGCTGGCAGTGGTGCTATGGCTCAAGTGGTAGAGCGCTAGCCTTGAGCTGAAGAGCTGAGGGACAGCACCCAGGCCCAGAATTCAGGCCCCCAAAAAGAAAGAAAGAAAGAAAGATTCTCATGGACTTTCTATAACTTAGGCTGCCTTCAAATCTCGATCCTCAGATCTCAGCCTTTTGAGTAGGCAGGATTACAGGTGCAAGCCACCTATGGCTGGCAAAACAGGGTTGCTTTACCACAGGAATTGTTGTAAAGCCTACAGTATTCATTTAAAATTTAGCCTATTTTGGGTTTGATTTCTAGGACTGCAAAAAAGTAAAATAAAATCAGTGTAGTCTATGTATAGCCATGGTCAAATGATCCTTTATATTAGGAAGATAAAGACAAAATTAACATAATTAAATATTTCTTCAAAGGAAGATGAAATATTTAAGTGGTTGGTAATTTTTAAAAGCTGATTAAATATAACCCTAGTGAGGAAAGGCATAAAAATCAAACAGATTGTATTTATGACATTTAAAAAGATGACATGATAACATTTAGAAAAGAACAGTGAAATGCAGGAATTAAAAATAGTCAAATTAATGTCTTAGAAATCTATCCATGAAGATCAAATCCATTTTCAGCACGTGAAAAGAATATAGAAGGCATTAAATCAAACCACAGATTCTCTTAATGAGGAAAATGTTGAAATGTGAAAGCCAAAGTCAGAAAATTACAGGAAAAAGTAGAGGCCAGCTCTAATTTTACATGAGGTATTCCATTCTATAGCAAATATGAGCTATAGAGGTATGCTCAGTCTGTAAATTAAAAAAAAATTATCCATTCTGTTGCGTATGCACCTCTTGCAATAAATTTGAGTCAGCACCAATGACGGCTCTGCAGTCTTCTTATGTGGGGCTGATCAGGTGGTTGCAGAGCTTCAGCTCACAGCAACACAATGCAGCTGAGCAGGCAAGCGCAGCCCACAGCCAGAAGCCGTTCCGACTCTCCAGAACAAGACGACCTTTAAGCCTCAAGTTTCCTGGAGAAAATGAGATGCTGATGCTGAAGACCACACTGTGGTAAGCTCTCATTTAAATTAGTAGGAGACAGACTTTGAATTTTTTCTTTTTTTAAGAAAAAGCCATGTTAGAATTGAATATACATTCAATAGCAAGTGCATGTATCTGAAATTTGCTGCAGTGACTGTTGAGGGTTTGTTTTTTTTTTAAATGTTCATTTTGCAAATATTCACACTGCTTTTCATTTAGAATTAATCTTGAAACATACAGGAAAAATGTAAGGTTAAAGGTATGATGTTGGTGTGGGTTTTTCAAGTGCCTTAAAATGATCTTACAGGATATATATATATATATATATATATATATATTTATATGTATGCATATATATATATACTAAAAAGGATGAAATTTCAAAGAATTGCTTTATTATCTAAATAGTATCTCATCTTATACTATATTCTGAGTCTTATAATACTGCAGAGATTTGGAAAGCAAAACAAAACAAAACCCCAGACATGACAGCCATTTTTTTCCGAGTTAAAAAAAATATCAAAAATAGTAATAGCTTAAGACTACAACTCTTTATTTGCAGGAAATTCCATTTTATCACATTAAGGCTACGAGATAAATAAGAATGTAATGAAAGAAGAGAAAAATAAGAGAGAAAAAAATGCAGGCAAGAGTAGGGGGAAGAGAGTCTCTGCTACATAGCCCCAATTGAAGAATCTGATTAGGCATTTGGACTATAAATGAAGGGGAGCTTTGTTAGTTTAATCACTGGAACAATTATAAAAGGATTCAAAAACAAGGAGGTTTATTGAAATTTTTGCCTAATGCTAACTGACCCATGCAGATGCCTAATTTGTATTTGCATAATAAAAGAAGGGTATATCTGTTTGTTTCTAGGCTTTGGTGGAATATCAGATATTGAAAATGTCTCCCTGCTTGTTCATCCTTCTGTCTCTCACACCTGGTATTTTATGCATTTGTCCTCTCCAATGTATATGCACAGAGAGGCATAGGCATGTGGACTGTTCAGGCAGAAACTTGACTACATTACCATCGGGACTGCAAGAGAATATTATACATTTAAACCTGTCTTATAACCACTTTACTGATCTGCATAACCAGTTAACCCAATATACCAATCTGAGGACTCTGGACATTTCAAACAACAGGCTTGAAAGCCTGCCTGCTCAGTTACCTCGGTCTCTTTGGAACATGTCTGCTGCTAACAACAACATTAAACTTCTTGACAAATCTGATACTGCTTATCAGTGGAACCTTAAGTATCTGGATGTTTCTAAGAATATGCTGGAAAAGGTTGTCCTGATTAAAAATACCCTAAGAAGTCTCGAGGTTCTCAACCTCAGTGGTAACAAACTTTGGACAGTCCCAACCAACATGCCCTCCAAACTACACATTGTGGACCTGTCTAATAATTCCTTGACACAAATCCTTCCAGGAACATTAATAAACCTGACAAGTCTCACACATCTTTACTTGCATAACAATAAGTTTACATTCATTCCAGATCAATCATTTGACCAACTCTTGCATTTGCAAGAGATAACTCTTTACAATAACAGGTGGTCATGTGACCATACACAAAATATTACTTACTTACTAAAGTGGATGATGGAAACAAATGCTCATGTGATAGGGACTCCTTGTTCTAAACAAATATCATCTCTGAAGGAACATAACATATATCCCACACCTCCTGGATTTACCTCAAGCTTGTTTACTGTAAGTGGAATGCAGACAGTGGACACCATTAACTCTCTGAGTATGGTGACTCAACCCAAAGTGACCAAAATACCCAAACAATATCGAACAAAGGAAACAACATTTGGTGTCACACTAAGCAAAGACACCACCTTTACTAGCACTGATAAGGCTTTGGTGCCCTATCCAGAAGATACATCCACAGAAACGATCAACCCACATGAAGCAGCAGCTGCAACTCTAACTATTCATCTCCACGATGGGATGGTTACCAACACAAGCCTCACTAGCTCAACAAAATCATCCCCAACACCCATGACCCTAAGTATCACTAGTGGCATGCCAAATAATTTCTCTGAAATGCCTCAACAAAGCACAACCCTTAACTTACGAAGGGAAGAAACAACTGCAAATGTAAAGACTCAATTATCTGTGGCAAGTGCTTGGAAAGTAAATGCTTCATTTCTCTTAATGCTCAATGCTGTGGTTATGCTGGCTGTCTGAGGGTCTACATTTTCTGAAACTAATGAAAGCATCCTCCCTGATGTACAGTTGGAAAAATAAGTCCCTATCTAACCACTGATCCAAGCTATATTAAGTATACAGGAAGTCAGTGTTACATTTCTGACTCTGATGTAAATGAAGTAACTTGTCTTAAAAGAAGTGCAGTGTCTTGGTACTTGCTGCTATTTTACTGTCTTAAGTAAAACTAATGAGTTTCTTTTAAAAAAAAAGAAATGCTTTCTTTTTAAGGCTTCAATTCATTGCATAAATATAAGGCATCTAAACTTTAATATGTATTTTATGTATGTTTACACTGTCAAATGTCTGGGGAAAAAATAAAAGGTCTATGCTCATAATTGTGTCATTTGGTTTTCTACTCATACTAACCAATTAATCTATCTAGTAGAATCAACATGGCCTAACCATTTTTAAGGTGAATGAAATTCTGCAGTGTCCCAAAAATTTGCCAGTAGAGTAAAACTGGGGCTGCTACCCTATGAATGGTTATGCCACATCATTATTTATACACAAGCCATAGTTGTTTTAAATCTAAATGATGTCCTGCTTCTGAGGAACTCTTGGCTACTTTACAGATTACATAATGCATAAAAGCTCTTAAAAAGGCTAGAAGACACTAGACCTTGCATTTTAATAAGGAAAATTTAACTGTGTGTTTATATTTGAGAAATGTAATACTAAAAAGTTTTAGTTTAACGACTTACAAGGGAGTAGTTTGAGTGCATATTTCCTTTTTCACTTACTGTTGAAAATCTCATTTACAAAATTAAAATCCTACTACCAGTGCAAGAGAGAGACCTTATCTTCTACATAATCAGAAATAAGAATGATTCATCAAAATTAAAAATAATATTAATTTAGGGATAAAATTATGGAGTATAGCAAACTTGGGCCACTCTGAGGGAGTGAGGGAAGGAGAAGAGGAAGGTGATAAGAGATGGAGTTTATTTTTTGATGCTGCAATCAGGTAGTGACTGGGCATGGGACAGATCTGACACGCCAAAGCAAACCAGAAGAAACTGAGAAATTTCTACAAATAATAAAAGTAAGTCACCTTAGACAAGAATCAGCAAAGTAAATTCTGAAACAAGGCAAGATTAAAATGAAAGAGAACATATGTGAAATTTGTAAGCTACAAATGAAGCTTTTAATTTGTGAGGCATAAGGAATAATTCAACATAATTTCAAGCATTCCTACAGGTGAAAAAGAAAATAAGAAAAATTTATAATTCCCCTTCCTAAGAATTTTTTAAGTTCAAAGAGTCTTTTTCCTGGCTTAAGAATAATTCTATTCAGAGAGAAAGTAAAATAACTCCTTCCTTCCTGTCCTGGGGCTTGAACTCAGGGCCTGGGCACTGTCCCTGAGCTTCTTTTGCTCAAGGCTAGCGCTTTACTACTTGAGCCACAATGCCACTTCTGGCTTTTTTTGCTTATATGGTACTAAAGTCGAACCCAGGGCTTCATGCATGTTAGGCAAGCACTCTTCCTCTGAGCCACATCCCCAACCAATAACAGTATACACTCTTTTTTTTTTTTTTGCCGGTCCTGGAGCTTGAACTCAGGGCCTGGGCACTGTCTTTGAGCCTTTCTGTGCTCAAGGTTAGCACTCTACCACTTGAGCCACAGCACCACTTCTGGCTTTTTCCATTTATGTGTTATGGAGGAATTGAACCCTGGGCTTCACGCATGCTAGGTAAACACTCTACTGCTAAGCCACATTCCCAGACCTATACATTACAGAAAAACAACTCCTCTCTGTACTAATGTAGGTATTTGAATATTTTTCTTCTTTTTTTTGGGGGGGGGGTCCGATTGTGAGGCCTGAACTCTGGGCCTGGGCACTGTTCCTCAGCTCTTCAGCTCAAGGCTAGCGCTCTACCACTTGAGCCACAACAACACTGCTGGCTTTTTTCTTTTTGCTTATGTGGTGCTGAGGAATCGAACCCAGGGCCTCATGCATGCAAGGCAAGCGCTTTACCACTGAGCCACCTTCCCAGCCCCAAATATTTTTCTTCATAAGCAAACCTAACATGTTCACTATATTAGATAATGTATTAGGGATTCTCACAATGAAGAAAAGGAGATGTTAGAAATGATTTTAAGATGCTTTACTTTTCCAAATAGGCATGCTGTCTCCTCTCCCTTCCAAACATTGACCTATTGTCTTCACCATCTATGACAGGCTAACTGGTTAGACAGTGCCTACTCTACACTTGTGTCTTGTTTTAAGAAAATAGATACTAACTAGTCAAGTGTCGATGGCTCACACCTGTAATACTAGCTACTCAGGAAGCTAAGATCTGAGGATTGCAGTTCAAACCCAGCCCATGCAGGAAAGTCCATGAGACTCTTATCTCCAATAAACCACCAGGAAACCGGAAGTGGCACCGTGGCTCAAGTGGTACAGAGCTTGCCTTGATCTGAAGAGCTAAAGGACAGTGCCCAGGCCCAGAGTTCAAGCCCCACGACAAACAGGAAGAAAGGAAGGAAGAAAGGGAGGGAGGGAGGGAGGGAGGGAGGGAGGAAGGAAGGAAGGAAGGAAGGAAGGAAGGAAGGAAGGAAGGAAGGAAGGAAGGAAGGAAGGAAGGAAGGAAAGAAAACAGATACTAGTAGGGTGCCAGGAGCTTACATGTATACTAACTATGAACAGAAGATCCTGGCCAGGCACCAGTGGCTATGTCTATAATCCTAGCTACTAAGGAGGCTGAAATCTAGGATCATAGTTCAAAACCAGCCTGGGCAGAAAAGTTTGTGAGATTCTTATCTCAAATTAATCACTTTTTCTAGGAAATGGGAAATGATGCTGTGGCTCAAGTGGTAGACCACTAGCCTTGTGCAAAAAGAGCTCAGGAGAGTACACAAGCCCTGAGCCCATGACCCACCAAAAAAAAAAAAAAAGACAGAAAAGTCTTTAATTAGCCAGTAAAATAACTAGATGAAAGGTGTGGCTCAAGTGGCAGAGCTCCAGCCATTAGCAAGCAAGCCAAGAAAAGTGTGAGGTCTGGAGTTCAAGCCATTGTATTGGCACACAAGAAGAAACAATGAACAAATAACAACAACAAAACCCTTCAAATATACTGAATTTCTCAGGAAGTAGGCTCCTTAGTGATAACCAAGAATTCAAAGAATTCCTCCAGAAAAAAGTAACAAGAAAGTAAAATTTATGAGTACCTACACATTGTGTTATTCCTCTTACATGTCTGCCAAATGCAGAGTAGTACTTTGATAAACTTACAAGTATAACATAGGAAGCTGCTTGCCCTCTACGTCCCTAGGGAAGTTTTTTGGTTTTTTTTTTTTAATTCATTTTGTGTTTATGTGGTACCAAGGAATTGAACTCAGGGCCTAATGCATGGTAGGCAAGAACTCTACCATTAAGCCACATTCCTAGCCCATTAGGGAATTTATTATCTTGTCTTAAGTAATGAAATAATACTTATCTCTATGGAATTATATTCTCTTATTTTTCCTTTAGTCGGTCATGGGTATTGAACTCTGTGCCTGAGCTCTTCAGCTCAAGGCCAATGCTCCACAACTTGAGCCACAGCATAGCTTCTGGTTTTCTGATGGTTAATTGGAGATAAGGCTCATGGGCTTTCCTGTGCTGGCCTTGAAATGTAATCTTCAGATTTCAGCCTCCTGAGTAACTAGAATTGCAGGTTTGAGCCATTGGCGCCCTCCTGGAATTATATTCTTTTTTTTTTTTTTTTTGGGTCCGGTTGTGGGGCCTGAACTCTGGGCCTGGGCACACTGTCCCTCAGCTCTTCAGCTCAAGGCTAGCACTCTACCACTTGAGCCACAGCACCACTTCCGGCTTTTTTCTTATGTGGTGCTGCGGAATCGAATCCAGGGCCTCGAGCATGCAAGGCAAGTGCTCTACCACTGAGCCACCTTCCCAGCCCTGGAATTATATTCTTATTTTTAATGAAAAGGAGCTTATTATTTGCCACAATAACAGGTAGTGTTATATTACTGGACTCCATAAACATGCCAAAATGCATCATTCCTTAACTTTATCAGACATAGATATATGATTGTGCATGTCAATATATATGTATAATGACTAGTGATGGTTTAATATTTTCAATACTAATTTAATATTTTTAATAGACACAAACACTTCGTAAAATAACTTAAAAACATAAAATATATGGGTTTGTGTTAAATGTTTTTGTCTAACTGTAAATTAATGTCTATGTTCTGAGCATATTAAGGTAGACTAGGCTAAGTTATAATGTTCAGTAGTTAGGTATTCTAAACTTAGGTATTCAACTTAGTATATTTTCAACTTACAGAGGTTATTTGGACATAATCCATTGAGTCAAAGAGTATCCATATATATATATATATATACACACATATATACATATACATACACATCTAAACATATGCACACATAGATACATTCACATATTATCTCTATATCTCTGATATATACATATTACCTATTCATCCATCCCTGAGGTTTGGTTCTGCTTTACAAGTAACATGCCTCTACCACTTCTCAGCTGTACAACCAACAAGTTGCTCTACTGCTTTCAGTCATTTTCCGATCTACAAATGGCTAACAAGTTGGGTGCTAGGAGGTCTGTCTATAATCCTAGCTACTAAGGAGGCTGAGATTTGAAGATTGGTGGTTAAACCAGCCTGGGCAGGAAAGTCCATGAGACTCTTATTTCCAATTAACCACCAAAACCAAGCCAGAAGTGGAGCTGTGGGATTCAAGTGGCAGAATTCTAGCTTTGAGCGAAAAAGCTAGAGACAGCAGTGTACACACACACACACACACACACACACACACACACACACACACACACACACACACACACACACACACACACACACACGGAACAGATAGTTGTGTTTATTTTTAACTCCCGAGGATTTAATGACTTAAGTCACATAAAGCCTTGGCCAACTCGTATGTGCTACTCATTATTTTCCATAATCATGCTAATGAAGTAGTAGTAAATTTAATGGACACCAAAAATGTTAGATGAGACAACTTAAAATCCTTTAAAGATTATTCCTTATAAAATATATTTTAAAAACAAAATAAGAAATGATACCACGTATAACAAACCACTTGCCATTATCCTGTTGGTGAAAAGTAAAGTGTTTTTAAATTTTAATTTTCCCCCCAAGTCCTAGGGCCTGAATTCAGGGGCTGGGTGCTGTCCCTGGGCTTTTTTTGTTCAAGGCTAGCACTCTAACACTTCAGTCACAGCTTCCATCTTTTTAGTGATTAACTGGAGATAAAGCCCCAGGTAGCTTTGAACCGTGATCCTTAGATCTCAGCTTCCAGAGTAGCTAGGATCACAGGTATGAGCCACTG